TATTAAAATATTACTTAGAATGTAAGCTATTATGCTGAAAGTTTCCTTTGATTTGAATGACTGTTACTTACACATAAGAACAAAGAGATTGAGTGGATACTTTAAAGGGCAAATACTTGAACTGTCAGCTGTGTTTCCAATTACAAGCATGTGCAAGCGTACCGAGAGAATCAGTGCACTGAGTTTGTTTTTGTTAAGGCTGACTAAGAAAGAGCAATTGTGTTTTGGAGTCTGCTAGAGCACACTACTCTTTTTCTTTTTTTTTTTTTTTTTTTTTAATGAAAAGCAGATTTTTAGGACTAAAGAGTAAATTACTTGTTTTTCAATTAAAAAAAAACAAAATTCAGTTCAGTTGCCTTGAGAAAGTTCAATGGATTGCTTCATTCCAGTATCTGTCAAGCTACAGAATATAAGTGCAAATGAAGCAAACATTTTAAAAGTATTTCTGGATTACAATTTTAAGGCTTCTATCTCTGCATTTGATGTGGTTTTCTCATAATAATATGTTTTAAATCCCTTTTTATTTTTTTAAGTGTTTTTAATACTAGTGCAAAGGGGAAGAAGACTTTTATTAGAAGTTGGATAGCTGTAGTAGAGGATGGTTCATAATTTCTCCCAGTTTTTTATGCAGGTTGAAAGAAATTGGAAGCAAAATGGAAAAAAAGGGCATGAGAATACACAACATACATTCAGCATGCCAGCACCTTAGACTTGGTCAGCTGAAGGGCAATCGCTTTGATATAGTTGTGAGAGATCTCAAACACCACCATCATGACTCTTCTGCAGATTTGAAAGAGAGAATATCTGAAGCAATGGAAAACGTTGAGGTAAAAAAGCCTCATGGTTGCCAATAATGAACAGAGTTTTAATTCTGTGCTGTTAAAAAAAAAAAAAAAAGTACTTTTAAAGAAAATAAAGAAGCTGCCTTCCAAGGAGGGACCATAAGTGAATTCATTCTGTGTTACAGACTGGAGACCCCAGAGTGGTGCAAGGCAGATGGGAAATTTGGTAGCAAATTGAGTATGGATATATGAGCTATTGCTGCACAGACCTAAGGCCAATCAAAGTGATGTGTTTCACGGTGGCAGCTGACATCATGAAAGAATATATTTACACATGGTTATCTTTTTTGGTCATGTGAAGAACATGCATGGTTGGGTCAGGTGAAAAATTGCGTGCTTTCATGACATTAATACGTGTGAAATGTCCGTAGCAGAGAAAGAAGATCCCCTGAAATTCAGTGGATTTTGATTGCTGTTATCCTTAGTCCCTGAAGAAAACCCCATCATCAGGCATTGCTAAATCACTGAGAAAAGCAAAAGAAAATCATGGAAAAGAAAAACTTTAGGTGTTTTGTACAGCAGTAATTTTTTTGCCCTATTTTTCTAAATCATAACCGTAGTACAAATTACTTTAAGAAGATTAATCCAAGAATAAAGACTTGAATGAAAACTATACAGTGTGCAAAAGTAAAATACACTACGTGCATTTTGGAAATTAATTTTATTATTGAAAAATGCATTCAAATGGTACTTTAATGCTTTTCTCTCTCTCTGCTCCATCTGACTGTTTTTTTGTTTTGCTGTTTGGAAAATGAACACAAATTCCTATGATTGTGTGTCTTGCTTTATTAGCTTACTGGTCAGATGATGAAGGACAAAAACAGCATGTGTGTTAATCCAAAATACTGATTTTCATCTTCCATGAAAACAAAATCTCGTATGGGACCTAAGGATGTCCAAAGAAAGGTTATATCATTTGGGCTGAATAACCATTTCCAAAACAAATACCGTATGTTTTTTGCTTGTCTACTCCATGCATACTTATTATTTTCTAGAAAAGGATGTTCTTATTGGGTCACATGGCTGTGGTTTTACTGCCCACATGTGACGTAGAACTCATCAGGAGACTTAAAATCCCAATTAGCAGAAGTGTTCACTCTTGGTCTTTACTATTGTAATAATAATACAAATGGTCTCATGTGAAAAAAGATTAGCATTTTTAAGAAAAAATGTCCAACAGTGGTTACTGTTCATTACCTGTGCTATGCTGCGTTTGCTTGAGTAGAGATTTCATAATTTGGCGCATGTAAAAAGCTTGATTACTTTTACTTGACCTGTAGTTGTATTTATAATAATTAACTATATAGAAATAATTTTGTTTCATTTACCTATTTTTTTATGAAAATGAAGACAACGATAGAACTTGGTTGTCTTTTTAGATGTTTCTAAATTAGGTGCTAAAATATTGCAATGAATCGTAAGTTACAATTTTGTTACATATTATTTCTGATTAAAAAAGCAGTTTGTATGCATTTTGGATGTAAATGTAGATGTATGTGTGTTGTATGTTTAGTCTTACTAATTGTACCTGGTACTTTCATGCTTTTAACATATTTACTCTTTATCATTCTAGACAAAAGGTTTTGTAAATTACTACGGACCTCAGCGATTTGGACAAGGACAAAATGTTCAGACAGATCAAATAGGATTGGCTTTACTGAATGAAAAAATGGTATTTTCATTTTGTAATTTAAGTAGTTACTGTCAAGTTAATTTCACGTTACTGTTGCAACGTCTCACGCTGGAGTTGACCTTCCCAGTGAACAATTTAATTTGTGAGATAAACCCATATGTGTGCTGGAAGTAATTGCCAGATCAGTTTTGACAGCAACATAAGCATGAAGATCTTCATAGTGAAACAAAAAATCTTTTTTAAACAGCAGGTGCAGCTTTAGATAGTTCAGGAAGTGATTTTTCTGTCTATGATTGGTATGTGATTGTGATCGTCATCATGTCACTTGGCAAGAAAGTGGCTGCATTCCATACAAGGTTTGAACACTAAAATGAAGCAATCTTTATACAATGTTTATTCATGGTCCTGATTGCCTCCTAACTTGTAGCCTCTTTATCCTGCTGGGGGTCTATATACTTCTTAAAAATGTCGCAAGATATTACATAGGATCATATGAAAGGATTTGCTTTTTCAATACCACAGTAATTTATCTGCTATGTAGAAGAGATTGCTGCTTTCCATTATTCCTTGGCTACTTTCCCAAACTCTTAGTTCTGAGTGATTGCTCCCATGTAAGCTAAGGAGAGCTTATTTCTTAAGTAATCATTCATAAGATAAGAGTTGTAATACTTTTCAATGTATATGGTACAGTACTTGGCACAGGTCTAAAACAGAATCAGACACTATAAAGTTAAATGAATACTTGAGTATCCTTTTCTTCTAATCTTGTTTTGGTTCTGAGAAAAGTCAGGAAAACTTACCCTCCAAATATGAAAAGAATAAAGATTTGAGGGCAGCCTGTAGAAGTTACTGTTGATGTATCTGGCATTTTGAATTCTGGTATGCTAGCAGTTGGTACCAGGTGCCAGTCCCTGAAGACCAATGATTTAAATCTCTAATCTTAACTAAGGTACTTCTTAATTTAAAACGTGTAGGAACTACTATTTATATTAAAAATGTGCCAGTATGTGCTTGCACAGTCCAATACAGAGGAGGGCAAGAACCAGATGTCACAGGTTGGTATAAGTGCTAGCAAATTGTGTGGCTCCACTGGTGTTGCAAGTAGCAGAGGTTAGTGTAGTGTTTTCCCTGTCATAGTGTCATCTAACCTAATACAGATCAGCATAAAAAAAAGAAAGATTGTTGTCCCTCTGTGTGAGACTGTTGAAAGTGTTCAGTCTAAATTTTGCATGAAACATGCAAAAGGGAAAGAAGGAACCTTCCTGTTCAGGATAGGATGACGGCATTACAAAGTGGAGGGGTTCTAACTGGATGTTCAAGAAGAGTGACTGATTTCTTATAGAGCTTTGAAAGCTGTCTTGTGTCTTCTGTCTGACTAAAACCTGTCTTATAATCTGAGAAGGAACACAACCACATTGGTTTGCTGTTCATGGCATCTTCTGTGAAAGGGAGAATTTGACTTTGACCTTAAAGAACTGATACAATTTTGAGAGGTTGCAGAATATGTTAACACAGAATTGGATGCATGATTGTCTGTTTAGTTGACAAATAGTTATATTTAAATGCAAAAACCCCCCAAATTATTAATATTGTTCTTTAAAGGTGAAAGCTGTGAAGTTATTCTTCACACCCGAAGATACTGATGACCCTGTTAACAACGCAAAAAGATACTTTCTTCAAACTGGTATGTCCAGTTAAATTGTCTATATATTTATTCAGAGTCAGTATTGTGAGGGAATAAGGTGTTGCTGCACAGAGAGATACTTTTTATTTTGCTGCTCCTTTATACCACTTAATAGCTTATTCTGCGGAACTCAGTAGAGTTGCACAGTTAAAAATTACATGAGGATGAGGCCCTAAATGTGCAAAATAGTGGAAACCTAATGTACTTCAGGTGCAAGACAGTATAGAAACAAATGCTATATAGTATAATGCTGGAAAAGACTAAGATAATCTTATCAAAGCAGTTTTAGCCTCCTTCCATTTGTCTGCTTTTGGAATATAGACTTCTCCTCCCTAATAAAGGAAGTATACAGGAATGAGACACCCAACTCATACTCAGCACTTACGACGTATGGGCATCTAATTTTCTGAGATTTCTATAACAGTCTTAGCTCTTGTTTTTTGCGCCTTTGGGCTTTGCTTTTACATCTCTTTAATTACGTATCTCTTCCACGCTTTCCTGTGATCTACCTGCTTTCTGTCTTGAATTAAAATCAACAAAATATGTCAAAGGCAGAAGTGTGCCGACTAAAATGCTCTGTTTGTCATATTTATTGTTTTTATCATTCAACTTAACTTTCTCTCCAAAACTAAAAATTTGGAGTTGCTCTCAACTTCAAATATATTTGTTCTTTTCAAATATTCCACATATATTAGCCTGCTTATCACTGTAGATTGACAGAACAACTATGTTATATAGCTTCAAGAGACACAGATATGTTTCATTTCACAAAAAAGATACGATGAATCATTCTGTGCTGTACATTGCTGCATGATGCATGGAGGGACATTGATGTGGACTCTGAAAACAGCTGCTTGCCTTTTCCTGAAAGCAAAAGGTAAAAGGCTATGCAAAAGGCTTCATCAGATAATCACTTGTAATGAGAAAATATGTAAACCATAAAATTTTAAATATACATTTATATAATATAGTACAAATCTGATTAAATATATTTTCATCTTGGTTGAGGTTCAGACTTCCCAGTGGCCAATGCAAATTGTACCTTTAAAATAAAGACATGTTTTTTACCCCCTATGAAATACATGTTCTCAAACAATGTAAAGTAGAGGTTTAATGTTCTTTTATAGCTTGCTTTTTACCTTAAGTTACCTGATCTAAAAAAAACTTAGTGAGTAATGAAGTAGGTTTCAAAAAAAAAAAAAAAGCAAACTAGGCTGAATAACTGAATGACAGCTAGGTTAGTTTATACTGCATGAAATAGAATAGAATTCATGGGACTGTGTTGATAGGCATCTAAGATGAAATTTGTCTAACATGACACATTGAAGGAAAGGGAATAATAACCTAAAAGTCAGCATAAAGAGGTTAGACTGACACCATTTTTTCCTAGCTGATTATTTCATTTTCTTAAGTGTATTTTTTCCTGACAGGTAATATGTGAAAAATCAGGGATTACTTATATGGTTATTTTTGTTTATATCAGAAGATGCAAAGGGTGCACTCATGATGATGCCAGAATTTAAAGTGAGAGAGAAGATGTTGCTACGAGCTTTAAATCGCTATGGTGTAAGTCATGAAGGTTGTACCAAAGGATGGCTCAATATTCCTCATTCCATGCGCATATTCTATGTCCATGCTTATTGCAGTAAAATTTGGAATGAAGCAGCATCATATAGACTGAAGACCTACGGTTCAAAAGTTGTTGAGGGTGATCTTGTCTTCTCAGAAGAGAATGATGAAAGCGTTGCCCTGAACGACAAGGTGAGTCTTCACAAAATAGTTCTTGTAAAACAAACAAACAAACAAAAAAAAACCCACCGCAAAAAACACTAAAAAAACCACACACCAAAAAAAAAAACACACCAAAAAGCTTAATGCACTTGAATACATACTCTAATGCTTTTATTTTGGTTCATTCATTAAAATATTTAATATTAGTGACAAAGATGAAAAAAGTGATGTAGCTTTTTTGATTTACCATAAATAGGCATATGACCTAGATGTATATTAGCAGTTTTTATCTGTTCTGCTCATTTTATTCAAGTGAGAAGAAGGAACAGAATGTCAGAATTGATATATGTAAGAATTTATCCTGCATGCTATATAATGCTCTTCTTAGGATCTGACTAGGGAAAACTTTCAGAGTGGACTCTGGGTGTGCCTGTATTATCAGCTAGTGCAGATCTGAGTCTTGTTCTGCAAGTCAGACCTTCCCATTATATATATTAATGAATGTAAGCCCATGGTGAAGGGTGGCCTCAGACTGAACTGGTAATCTCGTTGCGGCTACACAGTCAAAGCACTTACTCAGGCAATTAAAACAGATTGGCAGTGGGTCTAAACTGTTAGCAGCTGTTCAAAAAATGCAGCAGTCGTCTTGGGAAAGTAGTAAAGGGCAAGGGGGTGCTTCTCCTCGCCCACAGCACAGCCTGGGTGCTGTGCGTGGAGCCGTGGGTGAGCCAATAAGCAGAAGCCAGCAGTTGAGTGTATGCTGGTCCCAGGTTTTGGCATGCTGAAGTCCATTCTGAAGCCATCTCTTCTTTCAGGGTTAGCGTACATTTTTCTTATTGTGGAAGCAGTTGGGTCTCTTCTCCCAAGTAGCAAGTGATAGGACAAGAGGAAATGGCCTCAAGATGCTCCAGGGGAGGTTTAGATTGGATATTAGGAAAAATTTCTTCACCAAAAGGGTTGTCAAGCATTGGAACAGGCCGTCCAGGGAAGTGGTTGAGTCACCATCCCTGCAGGTATTTAAAAGACGTGTTGACGTAGCGCTTAGGGATATGGTTTAGTGGTGGACTTGGCAATGTTAGGTTTACGGCTGGATTCAATGATCTTAAAGGTCTTTTCCAACCTAAATGATTCTATGATTCTATCTTTCTCCTGATCATCAGATAAAGCATAGAATTTTGCAGTGTTTTACTGGATAATAAACAGGTGTGTACAGAGGCAGAATGTATCTCGTTTCTTTCGGGTGAACATCTTACAGATTTGAAAGCAAGAGCACTTGGAAGGTTATTGAATAACCTCCAGTCCCTGTAGAGTGGCTTCTGTTTACACTGTGATTTTTCTTCAACAATATTTTTGAGAGTGAATGTTAATAAAACATGTAGATCAAATAAAATGAAAAGCAGAGGTATCAAATTCAGTATTGAGTTACTGATTTTAATATAGATATATTCCTATTTAATATAAAACATTTTTCTTAGTATTTTTGCTTTTGCTGATGTAATACAAGATTGCATTGGCACAGTTAACTTCAAATTCAAAGAATATGAGTTTGTAGTGATAGTTTGCTAATTAGTGGTAGCTAGCATCAGTAAATATTTAATGCAACGCCATTTACCAGTAAACAGATTACTTTATATTAAGCATATATATCTCTCTCTCTTTACTATTTTTCATACCTGAAATAGATTGTTGTCCTTGTAGTAGTCAAATAACCTTAGAATCCTTTACGAGTTTGGGAGTACAGTGCATAATTCCTAAAATAAAGTGTATGCTTTATTTTTAAAAAAAGTTTTTTTTTCTTAATTTCTTATATGTCGTGTCAGGTTCATGTAGTCACTGCTCCAGAAGAGTCAGCTAACAAATACTCTATAAACCAAGTAAGTCTGTATGAAGAATTCTGAGTTGTTGATCTCTTTATTTGATTAAAATGTTTTGTTTTAAAAATGTGATTAAGTTAACTGGTGCAGTCTTCTTCCTTGCCAGAATGCACATTAAAGAAAACATATGTGAACTAATCTCCACTCTCATAACAAACAGGAGGAAAGAATATTTACTTTGTAATGGAAATAAGTACAGTGTCATTTGCAGTATGGCAATATTTATCTTGAAGCTGAATGTAAATGCTTTGAAAATTTTTTCAGTCTACTGGGAAAAACATTCAAGAGCAGTTGACACTCTAATTTTTGAAGATTCAGAGTGCGTAGTTGTGAAATCTTACATAGGCAACTTAATGTCTTTAATGCTGTATCTTTCCCAACAAGCAAGGAAATTCATGTTAGTATGTTTCTAGTTTGTTTTAGGAATCCTGACACGTTGATTATTTTTTCTGCTTTAATTATATCCAAGATACCTGCCTTGCACAGCTTGCTTTCACAAGAGAAGCTGCTGTTTTACTATTTCAGGCCCCAAAACGCAAGATTTAGACATACTTAAAATTGTAATCACATTTATTTAAAGGGGAATCGGTGGGCTTTATTTCAAATATGTTTGTTGTTTTGTTTTTTTCTTTGAAGGTGGTTCTTCCAATGGTGGGACATAATATCAAGTATCCCAGCAATAAAGTTGGGCAATGGTACCATGAAAGGCTTTCTAAGGATGAGCTGCAGATGTGCAAATTCAGAGTGTCTCCATTACAGCTGAATATACCTGGATGCTACAGACCCATTTTGAAAAATGTTCAGAATCTGTCATATTTTTTGGAAGGTAGTGAAAAAGGAATTGAAATTGAAGCCAACCTGAATGAATCAAAAGTCTCTCTTCATGTATCATTTGACCTTGATCCTTCATGTTATGCAACAGTCTGTCTGAGAGAAATAATGAAATGTGACTTTTAAGATTCCAGTTAATGAAAGACTGCAGGAATATTATACAATGGTGATGTTTTATGTAAAATGCCAAGAAAATAAGGGAGAATCACAGGTTCAAGCCAGAAACAGGAAAAATTCGTAGATTGAGATTCATACTGATTACGAAAAAAACCCACCAAAACCCTTTGGAATGTTCCAAAACCATTCCAAACACCAAATGCAAACCCTTGGATGCATTGGAATAAAGCTACGTGTTGTGCTAGGCAGGTTTAACAGAACTTAAAGAAGCCATGGGCTGCAAGCATGAATTTCATATTTGCATAGACATCTGACTTGCAAAGTTAAATCCTGGAAAAATGTTTGCAGCAAACAAATGTATCCTTTATTTCATAATCATTTAAAAAAAATGGTTTATACTAAGTGCTGTTCAAGCAATAATGTTAGAAGTTTGCAGTCTACAGGTATCTAACTGAAAAGTAGCTGTACTGAGGTTCACTAAATATATTGTGTTTTCGTTGTGTTCAGGCACCAGGTGTTAAAATGTGAAAGTCCTGAGTCAACAGTGACAAGTCATCTGATACTTTATCAGACATTTGATGAATCCCCCAACTTAAGTTAATGCTAAGGATTCCAGGATTAAGTAGTGCATAGCTGTTAGTTAGTGCCTATTCAAGTAAGCTCATCAAGACGAGGTGAATAATTAACATAACTGCAAAACCGTTTATAATAAAACCAAAACCCTGTTTTATTGTTTACTGGATGCAGACCTTATTCCTGTTACTGTAAAGCCTTATGGTGGCAAAAAAAGTGTTAATGGAACCATCCCTGGAAAAAAGCTTTTATATTTTTTTCTTAATTAAAAAAATCCAGTTAACTGTGATAAAAAGAGTGGATTTGTGGAAGAGGGGAGAGCAGAAGATGTCATTTACCTTGACTTTAGCAAGGCTTTTGGCACTGTCCCACAATATTCTTGAAACCAAGTTAGGACGTTATGGTCTGGATGGGTGGACAACTAGATGGGTAAAAAAGTGATTGGATGATGAGGCTCGGAGAGTAGTGGTTAGTGGGTCGTACCCTACCTGGAGTGAGTACCACAGGGGTCTCTCCTGTACCCCATCCTGTTTAATGTCTTTGTCAGTGACCTGGAGGAGGGGATGGAGTTCACCCTCATTGAATTTGCAGATGACACCAAATTAAGGGAACAAATGGATACTCTGGAGGATCAGGCTGCCATTCAGGGCAACCTAGACATGCTGGAGGAACAGGCCAACAAGAACCTTATGACATTCAGCAAGGGCAAACGCGAAGTGCTACCCCTGGGAAGGAAGCACCCCTGCAGCAGCCCAGGCTGGGGAGGGACAGGCTGGGGAGCAGCTCTGCAGGAATGGCCCTGGGGGCCCAGTGGCCAGCTGAACATGGGCCAGCCCTGTGCCTTGGCAGCAAGGATGACCAGCAGCCTCCTGGGATGTGTTAACGGGGACAGCCAGTAGATCAAGGGAAGGGATTATGTCTCAATTTTCAGCACGTGTTAGACCACGTTTAACTTCTACATCCAGTTTTGATCCCCAGCACAAGAAAGAGATAAAAAAAACTGGAGAAAGTTCAGCGAAGGGCCTCCGGGCTATTTGGAGACTGGAGCACTTGCCTTTTGAGGAGAGGCTGAAGAAACCGGGCTTCTTTAAATTGGAGAAGAGGTGGCTTGGGGAAGAACCAACAGCAGCTCCCTGGTACTTATGGGGAGGTTAGCAAGAAGATGGAGCCAGGCTTTTCATAGTGGTGCACAGCTGGAGAACAAGAGACAATGAGCATAAATTTAAATGAGATTCAGATTGGTTAAAGAAAATACTTTTCTCCTGTGAGGACAGTCAGGCAATGGAACAGGCTGCCCAGAGGTTATGCAGTCTCCGTGAGGAGGTGTCCAAGACCCAACGGGATAAAGCTCTGAGCAACCTGGTCTGAGCTCAGAGGCAACCCCATTTTGTGGAGGCAGCTGGACTAGAGACCAGAGACGTCTTCCAACTTGGATTACCCTGTTATCCTAAACAGAGTACTGCAAGTGTTTATTCAATCTGTAGATGGCAGTATGACTTAAAACTAAAATGGAAAACTACTTATTTTTACTGAGAGAGAATTAATTATATAAATTGAATTCTATTTATGGCATCAGTCTTTCAGTTGTTGCTGAGTAAGATAAATCTCCCAAGGTTGATAAATAGACCTAGAATTATAGGAGTAGGAAAAATAGAAATATAGAAATATAACTCACATTATTTCAATGCTTGTATAACACTGTGTAGCAATGAAGGATCCAGATAATCCACTGCCTTAAATAAGAGGATTACTCTCTAAGTCTGTATAAGTAATTCAAAATTTGACCCTTAGCTTTTATATGGGAAAATAGACTGTCACGCAAACAATAGCTACAGATCCACTGTAGGCAACTTACGATGCTTGCTCTGTTACAGTGCTTACTCTACATCTTGGGTTTATGGTATACAGCCAAACTGATTGAAAAATCCGTTTCCCTGCTACGACCCATCTGAGACAGCTTTGTTCCTGTCTTTGCTTTTCAGTATCACTTCTTCTGTCTTCCACCTGCCCTTAAAAATACCCCTCTTCTGGAAAATTATTTTAAACTCGAGTCGTTTTGGTACAGCACTGCTCAAAAAGAGTTGTCTTGTCACCACTGACATGGTAAGTGCTCCAGTGCAGACAGGAAGCTGCATGCAGTTACAATGACCAGAAGAAATAAATTAACACTGAAGTTCCATTTAAAGAGACTATTGTGGTCGTCTTCGTTGTGGCTCAAAACAGCCTCGAAAATCATCTCATCACATACAAGATTTTAATACATCAAGTATTAAAAGTTGAGCCTTGATTTGGAAAAATACAAAAGGTCAGATTAAAAGGCTTTTGACAGAAAGGCATGCTATTTTAAAATAGAAGATCAGAAGATGGTGTTAAAAGAGTTCCCCTATAATCATTTTAGGCTCATTTGTCACTACTTCTATTGAACACTAAAAGGACTAATCTTCTTAAGCAAATCATTCTTTCAGCAGCTTTAAGGTGATAGAGCTAATTATGTGTGTCCATGGGTTAAATTCCTATAGTAGAAATGTTCTACTAGGGAAAAGTCAGGTTAGCTATTAGAGTGTTTATATGGTAAACATCCTTCTTATTTCAGTGGGCATTTATTTGTAATTTGTTCTCTTAATCTTAGCAGCTATTTTGCGGGATTATGTACATGAACAGTTGAAGTCAGAGTTTTGTATGAGTGCAATACTCGGCTCCCTAAGTTTAATCTATATAAGCAAAACATCCGTGCCCCTGCATTTAGAAAAGAAGATAATCATTGTGCACTGAGCTGAGTTTAAGGAAAAGATTGATGTGTTAGACGTCTCTCATTTTACTAAGTACTTCTATTGCTACCATCCTTTTCTGACAAGCCTTAAAGCACTTTGCTAATACTAATGAAGACAGGTCTCTGATTCTGCTTCTAACAAAAAGGTTTTAAGTTCAATGGCCAGTTGATTTTTTCAGCACAGATGATAGATAATTGGGCATTTGAATGGGAAAAATGCAAATGTTCTTAATCTGTGAAATCCTGTTACTTTTAATTCATTACAAATTTGACAACTAGTACTATCCTCAATGAGAATGTACAAATTTTTACATCTTTCAGAATGAGATGGCTTAAAATTACATTCCTACCATAAAGGCAGTTCAGAATCCAGGTAGATGTGTGATTATTGACCCAGATCACTCATTAAAACTCTGTTAACTCCTCTCTTGGTGTCAGTGCCTGTCAGCTGGTGATTTGACTTCTTACACCCAGCTGATGAGCACAAACCTATTTTCCTTTCTCTTACAGAACTTCTGCCCATAATAAAAGTTCAAGGGAACAAGCTGAGAAACTATGAACACTTTCCTTTCCTTCAGTCCACAGTCATGCTTTGCAGCCCATTGGTTCAGATCTAGATTCCTTTTAGAGGAAGTGAAACCAGAAAGTGAGCTCCAGCTGCATGCCAAGCACACTGCGTCCAAATGGAAGAACAAGGATCCGAGTGAGAGGTTGGTCATTGGGACAGCTTCAAACTCTATACATGGCTGCCTTCTGTTGTGGAGCCTAGGCAACATTTAGCCCAAAGTAAAACCACTGAACCACATGTTGTGTAAGTAGAGGGGCTTCAGTGCTCCAATACGTTCATCTGTTTCTGTCACACCCAAAAGCTTGCTCATGTAGACATTGTCTGAGAATGTTGTGTTTGCAGGAAAGGCAGAATCAATGAAGTCAGATGTTTGCACCACCTGAAGTTACTTCATTTGGCTCAGCAGAAGTCGGAATCTTATATTACAGCAGTTTAAATGCGTTTTCAGCGTATACACAAACGCTCCTACCTGCTTAGAACAGTAAGGTTTTTAATTAGCTTTAGAATATGACCGATTTAAAAAAAAATTCTATCTGTCGTTCAGAATGTTCCTGCACTTAAAAACTCAGGACACCCTCTCCCACACCCAGCAAAAGGCACTTTGTCTTTTTACCTTAACATGTCTACTCACATCTCTACTGAAATCATTAATATCTGTGTTGAGCTCATAAGCCAAATTTCAGAACTCTGCATAAAAAGAACTGTAATAATACATGGCCATATCATCCACTTGTGAAAGCACAACAGGAACCATTTAGTGATTTTGTATTGATATTATATAGAAACAAATACATAGAATTAAACTGGATTTGGATTTAGTGCTCTACAACTGTGATGGTTTGGATCAAGGCTCAGTCTTGTACCTTATCCTGTCTGCAACAGTTCCTGTAAGTGGACATGTAGGAAAGAGTAAAGCAAGGGAAGCATATATGATATTTATCCTCCAACTATTTTCAGTTCAGGCGATTTCCTGAGTCTGAGTGGTTTTGCTATTTAATAACTCTCAATGGATTTCTTTCCCAAGTTTTTCTCATCTTCCCTTGAACATGTTCAACCTCTTCCCAGAGTTCCATGTTTGCTACCTGTTGTATGAAGATCCGCGTTTTGTTTTTTTTTAAACTGCCTCCTTCTGACTTCATTTGATGATCCTTGGCTCTTGTGTTT